GTCCACCTGCAATGCATGCTCATAATTCCTTTGCCCTGCAAAACCAAGCTTCTCATCACCATATGACGACGTCTCATTGCGCACAGGTACAGAAGGTGCTGCCGCTGCTGTGTACCGAGGAACAATTTGCTCGTCTCCCGACATATTCCTCGGGATAGCAGTGAGTGGAACTTCAGTAAAACCACTCGGATCTTGGGGTGGTGGACCGCCATTGGGCACGGGATCCAAAATATGCCCCTGGCCCCCCTCACCGCGGTGCTTCTCGCGGCTCCAGAAAAGCATCATGACACGAGCGATACCAATCAAGGCGATGAACACCCAGATCAGGAGAATGACGGTGGCAATGATGGCTTCGATGCGCACCGCTGCCTCCATTTTGTCGATCACGCTGGTGACGACCTCGGTGATTTTGTTGGCTGTCTGGTCGCCTGAGTCAGCGAGGAAACTGTCGGAAGGATTAGAGGTGTCGTTGATGCTGGAGGCGGCACCGGCGGAGAATGTGTCGTTCGGGAGGGTAGGGAGGGAGATATGTGCGTGCTCAGCTACCCAGTTCAGACCCTTTTGGAGTGCCTCTGCTTTGAGGCCGATGAGGCACTCATATAACTCGTAGACAGGCTCTTGCAGAAGGGTACCCTTGAAGGTCTCGTTTAGGACGCTGGATGTGTTGTAGATGAAGAAGTTTAGAGTCCCGTTTATGGCATGCGTGCTGGTATTGACCCAGCCAAAGACATTGTGGTTTAGGTCGTTATCGAGATTAATGATGGCCTTGTTGGCATCGGTAGCCCAATCTGTTGAGGCACTTTCCAGTGCGTCAACGACCTTGTCTGCGAATTCTCCCACTTGGGCACTCAGTGCTGGAACAGTCTGCTTCACCGAGTGGAGGAGCAGGTATTGGCACAGACAAGAGAATAGGGCTGCCAATGCAAGAGCCAACACGAAAAGAGCAGGGAGGGATGTTGCGTAGGCAATGGCCCATCGCACGAGGATCTGTCGGCGACTGTTGCTAAAGTGACTTGCTGCCTTGATACCTCCAGCGGCGGTGTATGGCCGTGAAACAATATAGATAACGTCCATTGGATCATGGGCTTCCTTGCGAACCAACTGGGAGCGCTCTTTCATTGAGCGCCATCGGCGAATTTCTTGCCACGCGATTGGAATGCATACCAATATGGCAGCAATGATGAGGACAGCAATGAATATTTTGCGTGCCTTTAGTGCCAGCTCGGTGACACCGTTGAAGAAATCGTTGATTCCTTTGTTATCGTTGCAGAAGGTCAACTGTTTCTTGGAAGGGACTGGGAGAGCGGACCGATCGAAGCTGTAAGTGCCCAAAGTTCCGTTGACTAAATCTTTGACTTCTTTGAAGGGAGTTTGAAAGAGTGTCTTAGTGTAATTTTGGATCTCTTTGAAGTTGGGGAGGACGACGCTGTCCAACTTTTCAACCGTACGGTTGACTGACGATGGAAGAGACAGATTCTCCAACGTACTGATTGAGCTGTTGAGATTGATTGGACTTGGATCGTTCGAGAAAAGGCTGGCCACTTTGTTAATTGTCTCGAGGAATGTGTTCAGTTCTTCTTTGTATTTGTCGACGGTACTCTCAATATCGCCGCTGATTGTTTTGAGGGTTTTGTTGATCCACTCAGTAGCTTCCTTGATCAATTCAATCCCGGCTCCTACTGTGCCGCGGACGGCCATTGTAATGAGACAGGCGTAGGTGGAGTACATCATATTAATGACGAACCAGAGAATCTCCCCGACGCCCGTGATAGTCATCAACAATACGGATTTCAGGGCAGAAACGGCTTCATCGACCGAGGAAGCCACAAGCTCGTTGGTACCCTTGGATAGATAGTAGGGCATCGAAGCCATCGCGCTACCCATGGATTCCACCGACGTGCATGCAGAAAGAGCCTCACGCTTGGCGGATGCCATGTTGGATTGCAAGTCGCCAACTGCAATCAATACTCGGAAGAGGACAAGAAGTAGAAGTATTGTCCATCGGTTGATCCATACTTGTGAAAGTCGAGCTCGCAGACCGAGATAGGGAGTGAGGCCATCTGGATGTAGAGGAATTATCCGCCCCGTGCTTGAATCATGAGCTCCATAAGGCGGGAGCAGTGGAAAGACTGATCGGCCGGATCGGGAGAATACCATTGTAGTGATTCTTTTTTTTTTTCGAAAGTGATAGTCGTCAACTGTTTCAGGTGTGATCTCGTCCAGCGAAGACCAGGAATGTTTGGAAGCGTAATTAGATCAAGAAAAGATATGCAAAGCCTGCATCAAAATGGAGAGTTCTTAAAAGAAGATAAAGAGAGCAAAGGAAAATTCCGGACTATTGGAGGGACATGGTGTATACGATTTCTTATAGATGTTGAATGAAAGGGGGGGATCAATAGATGAATAAAGGTGGCAGACTGAGAACAATAGAATCAAAATAAAACAAGGGACAATGAATCTTCAAATATAGTAGCCAGCCAACGTCACCTAAAGATCGTCAGACATCCTGGGCGGCAGCAGGCATTACAATAGCCCAATGTTGCTCATGAAGAAGCAGTTGAATGGACCTTGGTAACCCCGTATAGTCGGGACAGCCCCAATCAGAGGGGACCATGACCATTTCGAAACAAAGAAAATATAAAAATAAAGCCTGAAGACAAGGAGTCTGTGCAATGGTTTGTTTCATGAAGCATCGAAGCGTCTCACTGGCTACTGTGTGTGTCAAAAGCGCCGAAGTGGACAATCAACCAAATATAGCCATCATGGGCGCTTAGCCGCCCACGACTGAGAGCCAATAGCTGGACAGCGAGGGCTGCTTGATCTAACATCATCCCTGTACAGATATTTCAGTCCCATGTCATGCGTGTAAACGGATAAACGATATGTATTCATCCTTGGGGGTTAGTCTTCGTTTTGGCTGTTGCCGCTTAATTCGAGTGTTCCTGTCTGTGAATCGATTCACCGAAGATCGCACTCGAGTGCAAAGCAAAATTTCCACAAGCACAACTTTTGGTAAAAGAAAGATAAGTAATCATATTGCAAAATATTCCATCATAATTATAGATTATTTAGTAAGTCCATCAAGGGGTGGGGTACGTGAACAAAGTACTTGATGTTTATTGGAGTTATGGTCGCCGGCGTTGAAAGAACCGTGTCACGTGATATTCACGAGATCCATACAAAACGTGACCACACGTGACCAAGTCGCACCCTAACAACTTGCACCTACATGCCTTGAATTCCATGACAAGAAGACGCCTGCATTTCTAGTTAACTGCTTGTATTGTGTTTATCTATGATACTTTGAGAATTAATAGCCACTTTACTGGCCTTTCTGTGGTAAATTTGCTAATCTCTTCTTCAGGTGCAGCTTTAGGGTTTTCCGAGAGTTCTACGTAAAAAGGATTGATATAAAGCACATAGGATAATGGCATCCAGAATTGAATTGAATTTCTTGATATGTAGCTAATATCTATTAAAACCAGCTCAAGAAGAGCCCTCTTGGCCCTGTCACTCTTGTTTGCGCGGCTCCATGTCAGTTCTTTCGCTTCGCTTTTGATGTAGTTGAGTGTTGGGCAGAAGCTGCTACCGTCAGATATAGCTGTGCCAGTGGTAATATGGAGGAAATGTGATATCGGAATCGTGTCAAGTCACGAGTATTTGTGTTGAGGTGACAAGCAAGTTGTATCGTTTTCAATTTTTCAATTGCATGTCAAGGCGTTTGCTCAATACGGCTTTCCCGTATCGTATTGATACTTTAGGGACGGAATCCAACGGAATCTTCAGTCTTTTAGAAGCTTCCAAGGTTCAACTTGAGACTGTTTGTCGAATAAACATCGGGACTGGAACCGCAGCTTGATGATAGTCATAAACCCCCAGCACTATGATCCACTGGCAGATGCCGATGAGGCTATTTCATACCTTGATGCTTCACTCGATTTGTTCGACCAGCCTGAGCAATTCATTTGCTGAGAAAAGACACTGGTATGTATCTTCATTTCTGCCACATTCGTCTGGCTAGTTGCAGGTTCTGATCGAAGACTCTGGGGCGGTAGCACGTGCACAGTTTGTTTGTCTCATCCATTGTTGTCGAATATCGAAGCTTTTCCTTTTTTGTTGTCTCCCTTTCTTTGCATCTCCTTCTCTTCTCAGTCTCTCCTCTTTCAACCCTCTCCACCCCGCACACCCAATAGCTTGGGTTCATGCATATCCCCCCTTCTTTGGCTTCCACTGACAAAGCCATTGTGCCAAAGAGCAGAAGCTTATTTCACCGCATGAGCCAAGCTTTGAAGCCCCACACAGTAAGTTGTCCCACATCTTCACGCGTTGGGTCATCGCAGGTGCCCATAGACCTTGACTGATGGATGGTCAAGACAGCATCCACAATCTTCCTTGTGCGACCAGGCCCACAGGCTTTCAGCGCCCCAAGGGCAAATCTTGGTAAGTAATCTCTTGTGAAGCCATATTTCACATCGTTCTGTCGACTGATGCATGGTCGGGGCAGTTTACACAACCTCCCGCATGAGATCAAGTCTCACAGTTCACAGCTTCGAGTCTCCTTGGTAAGTCATTTCTTGTAAAAGCAGATGACCCATCTTGTATTTGACTGATGCATCTTGCAGCGAAATATCCTTTTTGAAATACCCGAGAACCGTCTGAGACCGAAGAGAGCCCTCTGTTCCGACCGAGGAGTACTTGGTAAGATCTTCATGAACCCCATCCATGAGCCTCAACTGACACATCAGAAACTCAGTGAGCAGTAAGAGACTGCTGTGGGCGTCTGCCTTTCATCGAGTGAGTCTTCTTGTCGACCGCGGCATCGGATATCGATGGACTCAGCTAATACATAGTCAGTTTTATTCCCATACTTGACAGAGAACATCAAATACCTCATCCCTTTTCCCACTCGGTATGTCTTTCGATCTGAATGAAAAATAACTCGATGGAGAGTCACTAACCGTCGAGATGAACTCAATAGTTCACCATAATCATCATCCGAGATGCCCACCGTCTTGAGCAAGTTCACTGATGGCGAGATTCTCCCCCACGATCCCCAACCGGCTGCACCTGCACATGGACAGGACGCCAGTTCTGAAGTGCACACTCAGCTGCCCGATGAGCCTCAGATGAGCCGACCTGAGATCGAAGAGCTTCAGGCGTACGAAACTGAGCTCAAAGCTGAGAAATTCCTCCAAGACACTGTACACTTAGCCACAATGCAGTATGCCACAGGCGAACCCCGAGTATCAGAGCCCCTCAACTCTGGATCACTCACAGTTACTATGGGGCTGCCTGAGGCAATCAGATCTGCAGATCAAGACATCGCCGCAACCCAGTCCAAGTCAGATGATTGGGACGATCAAAAGGCTGGGCTCACTCTGGGCAATGGCCAGTTGAGGCTGAAGATTGAGGACTGGCAGACCCCTAGTCCGAAATTCGCTTTGGAGAACAACCCCAAGGGTAACCCCAAGTGCGAGCTTCACGGGGAAATTGCAAGCCCTGAAATGATACACGTTGACTTTAAGGTCCCCGCCAGCTACCCAGGTGGCATGATAGGTATCATGCAAGTGATTGAAGCACTCTTCATGTCTCCAAAAGCGATTGCCATGAGCAACATCGAGACCGGTTCTGCAGCGGCTCGCCGAGAGTCGAAGAACCCGAAAAGAGATGGCTATCATATCAAATGGACAATCCCATGGGAGACGTCCGGCTGCCGTGTAAGCTGGACGAAGGCGAAAGAAAATTCGCCAACCGTGAGATTTAAGTTTGTGAGTGGGCGGGATGCGAAACCCGATGAACAGATGATAGTCAGCGTTGATGAGCGTGACGACTTTTATCAGATAATCTCTAAGAAAGACCCTGTCAGTATACAAGCTTCATCAATATTGGGATTGAACTAACATATCACAGAACACTTACGGCAAATGCATGGCACTTCCAGTCCGAATTTGGCTGCGCATTCAATGGCTGATATCAGAGGCCGGCGGCAGTGAAAGCAAACTGTTTGGGAAGTTGCTTGTCGAGAACAATTCCCTTTCTTCTACCAAGAAGAATAAAGGGAAGACAGCATCAAAGGAATTCCCAAAGAGTGCACCGGAATCTTTTACAGCTGAAGAAGGAAGTTCTGAGGACGGAAAGTCAGAGGTGTCAGCTATGCCGAGTCCAGAGCAGTCAGTGTTAGGGCAAGAACATACGATGGAGACTGTGGGGAGTCAAGAGTTGACCGAAGAAGAGTCGATCCAAGAAGAGTTGCCTCAAGAAGAGCTGCCCCGTGAAGAGTCGACCCAGGAAGATTTCACGCAGCATGAGTCGATCAAGCAAGGATCAATCGAGCAAAAGTCAACCTTGAAAGAGTTGACCAGAAGGGTTTCTACGCTCACGATTGATACCCAGAAGAGCAACAAAAGGTCAAAGGGCAAGGGTAAAGGGAAGGGTAAGCGCACGCCTGGTTCGTCTCGCTCCAACACAGGAAAGAAGGATGCAGTCCACGTCACCGATCACATCACCGATCACCTCCAACGTGGTGACAACCAGCGTGACGCCTTACTTCTGGGAGTGCAGGACATCGCTCGACAGGATGTCCCGACTCAGCAGCAACTTGCGGCAGTTGCTGGCCAACAAACAGTCAATGCCTCCCGGTCCCCTATTACTCCTAATGACTTGACTTCCCCATTTTCTCCATCATTTGAGACACCCCGAACCCACTTCTCCCCCCACACTCCCCACCCCTCATCCTCACTTTCATCTTTCTTCACACCTGCCTCGCGGAAGAAAGAGGATGGGGGGAAAGGGGAAGTAAAAGCGGAAGAAAAAGAGCCAGCAGAGACCTCAGATGAGCTGTGCTTTGCTCCGCCGGGGGATGAGGTTGGGCTTCGGTGCCCTGTCTCGGACAGCGGGGATGAGATGTGGCGTTCTGGTAAGTTTCTTACTCTTTCTATCATTGTTGATGCAGCTGCTAACTGTTATTTAGATCCTGGAGAGTACCTTGGCGGCCACAAGATGCAGGAGTCAGTCTTGCGTCGACGTGTGTCTTTTGATGTGGCCAGTCTAGGTATGCAATTGCATTCTACATATGTTTTGATTTGAATATATGCTAACAAAAGATTACAGGACTCTCCAGGGGCCATGAAACTACATACTCGTCCCCAACGGCCGACCCTCCATCGACCTCCTGTGCGTCTTCTGCCTTGTCCACCACAGACTCGGCTGGGTTTGGGACAGACGATCCCAGTTCAGATGGCACCGTCCAGCTAGGTGATCAAAGCCCGGCCGAGTCTAGCCGATCTGGCAGTAAGACTGCATACAACAAGAGGAAGCACCTGAGACGGCGGCGCAAGCACTTGATGAAGCGTCAGCAAGCGCGCGGTGCGGACTTCGAGAGCCCCGTCTTTAGTGTTTCCTCTCAGGGCGATGGAGTGGAAGGTCGTTCTCCGTCTCCACCCGAGTCGTTCGAGGATGATGAACCAACTCCCACAGCCAAGCAGTTCGGCAACATCGGGGCCCCTGACCCTGAATCACAGATAGACTTGCGCACGATCAGAATAGTCTGTCAGGAGAAAGACTGCCAAGTCATCTGTGGTTTGGGGGATGGGGTCTCCGTTGTTTGCCCTAAGTGCGGACCGTTTTCCTTGGTCCGCTACTGCGGCAAGCGCCACCTGTGGGAGGATGTCAAGAGGCACTGGGAGATTTGCACGATGCTCCCAGTCCTGGAACAGCACTTGGCCGGTTTGATTCCGTACGACGATCTCGTGGGTCCACCAATGCTTCCCTGCCTTCACCTGTGGGACACGTCTGAGCGCCATCGTCAGGCGCTGTGGTTCAGTTCCGCCCGCGACCGAGGTGACTACTTCGTGTTCGAGGAACTGAACAACCCGGGGGAGGCAGCGGACGCTCCAGCCAGTCACGCAGGGCTGCGATGTTCACCTCGAGTCACACACATTGTGCGATTCGAGGACGCCGAAGAGAAGGACCGGTTCCGCCGGTGCCTGGCAATCTGTCTCTTCGGTAAGTTTCATATCACCTTTACCTTCCTTGCACTTTTAGCTTCACCTCACTCTTAGTTTCCCTGCACTTTGACATCCATACAACCCTCACAATTGCGTACTTTTTAGATCATATGCTAACTCTTCTGTTCTTCTAGCGGCGGTTGAACATCCAGCCCTCGTGGACTATCTTTACCGGCTTGTCCGGGACTGGATGCGGGCTCACAACATGTGGGCCAGTGACAAGGACATGGACAGCATGCTACGCCGCCAGATGGGATTCGAGATGGGAGGTAACACCATCGACGAGAATCGTCTTGGTCTGCGGCATGCTTGTGAGACGGAGTGGGTCGGTGCTGACCGGCGCCACTGCGAGGATCTGACCTGCGCGAGCGAGCGTCGCCCCACGTTGCTCGGTAACCACCGTATGGGGTTAGGCTTCCGGAGAGTGTGCGAATCCCTCGAATCCAACTATTGGATTCTGAGGGCGCACCGAGCCACCCATCCTTCGGTGAGCGACGTGATGGCTCGCACGTGCGGGGCAGGGTTCTCGGAGGTCCTTTCAATGGACCGGCGGGTATTCTGCCGTGGCGTCGGTTGGGACGGGGCGGGAACGGGCCCCATGGAGTTGGAAATGCCGTGGTCAGGGTAGGGAGCCGTCCCCTCCCTAGCCCTTTTTCTTTGTGTCGGGGTCCTGGACCTGGGGTGGCTGGTTTGGAGAGAGATATCATCAGTGCGAATTCGGTGGATGCCCCCCAGGTCCAGGATGCCCATTTATGTATTATGTTTTCGGTGGTGACGGCGGGTTGGAGGGGGAGTTGATCGCCCCCTCCTTTGTTTCTAGATAGAAACAAAAACCGTCGCGTGGTTGTGCCTTTGTCCTACTGTGCCTAATTCATTGTTCTTAGGTGCTGTAAGTGACACGGAGTAGCTGTACATGACTAGATACCTAGGTATGTACTGTTTGATTTATCATGAAAGAGAGAATTGGTTTCTGTGGCACGTATCTTGCATCTTTATATCCAATTTTCTATTGGCATCGTAACACTTCTATGCATATCTCGTCACTTCTCACATATCAAAGCCCTGCATGTCTTTGTTTACTGGGTAATATACTTCTTCAGCCCTCTCAAGCGCTCCTTGGCAGTCTCAAGAACATCATCATTCTTGCACACCGCAAAGCGGAGATAATCCTCAGCAATGTGGGCGTTGGAGTCAGTGTAGAATTCAGTGGGAGGGATAGCAGCCACGCCAACCTCCTGGATAAGGAACCAGCAGAGCTTGAAATCACGAGGACGGCTAGCAACATGGGGCGGGAAAGGATAATCAGCTGGGAGCTTTACAGAGGCCATGTTGACAAGCACAAAGTATCCACCCTCGGGATCAGAGTACTGTAGAGGTTGATGTCAGCGAAATCAATGTATGGCAGAGTAGACTTGATAATTAGGGCTAGAGTGATTACATACCGGGATACCGAGCTCATCAAAGACCTCGCAGAACCGCTCAATTTTACCCTTCATGTCTGTTCGGCTCTCGTCCCAGAAGCCCTCTTTTTCTGCCTGCTCGAAAGCAACAGCAGCAGCTTCCTGGAGAGGAGACACACTGCTGTAACAGATACGGGTGTGTGCACCAGCCACGTACTTGATCAAGTGTTCAGGGCCAATGAGGTACCCAACACGCCAACCAGTAGCATAGAAGGCCTTGCCGGCGGAGCCCACGGTCAAAGTGCGCTCGTACAGCTCTGGGGACAGGGTAGCAATTCTAGTGTAGGGAACGTAGAAGAGGCGGTCGTAGACTTCATCAGACAAGATGATAAGGTTATACTTGATGCACAGTTCACCAATGCGCTCGAGCTCTTCGCGCGAGAAGACCTTGCCGACGGGATTGTGCCTATGAACTAAAGTTAGTTGAGACCTTATTATCTCTGTAAATCAAGGCTGCTTACGGTGAGTTCAAGACCTGCTACAATTAGCTTGGATATTCATGAAAATTTGGTGTGGCATGCTTACAATCATCTTGGTCTTAGAGTTCATGGCAGCCTCGAGCTCCTCAAAGTTAATAGTCCACTCCGATGCAGGAGAGGTCTTGGTGGCACCATCCTTGGGAGGGTGGAGAGGAACATAGCGGATAGTACCACCAGGCATCTCAATGTTGCTAATATATCTATTCGGAGTGAATTAGTATCCCCTCAATCCTCTTGCAATATCGGGGCTCCTTACTGGTCAAAGAAGGGCTCAAAGATAATGACCTCATCACCATCCTCGATAAAGCCCATGAAGGCACTGAGCATGCCTGTTTTTTATCACTTGTCAGCGACAAATGTCCATTTATTGGTAAATTATACCAATCGCTCACCTTCATTTGCGCCGGTTGTGATCGAGACCTCAGTCTCGGGGTCTAGCTTCTTGCCAAAGAAGGGGGAGTAAGCATCGGCGATAGCCTGTCTGAGGCGGGGGCGACCCTATATTGTATGAGCACTTGTGTAACTATGCGCAGATTCGCGCAGATTCGTTGGCGTTCTCTACCTTTGTCGGAGAGTATTGGTTGCATTCCACTCGGTCTAGCGCATCCTTCGCAGCGTCAAGAGCGAACTTGGGAGGATTATAGCCACTGCGCAAAAAGATCGTATGTCAATTCCTATCTTTGAAGTAATTTGGGGTCGTCGAAATGACGTGACTCACAAGAACCCTTGGCCCATGTTCACAATCGGCTGAACTGGCGAAGCTGCGGCGGCTTCGTTGACGATTGACCTTGAATCCCCATTTAGTATGTCTTTTCTAGCTGATTTCCTGAAACTGCATACCAAACATCCTGGCGCTGTCCTGCCACCCGCTTGGCGGGGCGAAAGGGATCGGGTCGCGAAGCTGTAGCCGACATCGCTCTTGCGCTGTAACCAGGTCGGGGTAATATCGAAGAGGGGGAGAATAGGTTTCTAGACCTGCAATTCCGTGATTGAGCAAGTATATGGCGATAAGAGCGGGAGAACATGAGGATTGAGGAAAGTGAGAAGAGGGAGGTCAATATATGGAGTTGGATTTCTCCACCATGGCGTGCTCCGCATTCGGCTGACGGCCCTCGGGACTTAGACCGGCTTGTTTTTTTTTTATTTTCTTTGGGTCACTTGGAGATTATATAGTACTTATATGTACTTCCATATACATATCTACATATCAATCGTACATAGAGGTAGTAGATTTTGTTGTTTGCTCATTTTCAGGCACCAAGGCCTGTTACTTACTAATTAACGCGTTGAACGCGTCGCACCCGCGGGTGGTCGTTATCATTTCTACGTTTACCTCACCTCGAAGTTTTTGAGTAACCTAGTGAATGACTAGATCATTCTCTGGTCATCATGGTTTCCTGCCCAATATGTGAGCAATCTGTATCCCAGTTGAAGATCAACGACCATATCGACTCGGGCTGCCAGAGCTTCATCGAAGAACCCTCGTCCTCTCCAGGAGAACTGGCATCCTCCCAGAAGGGACCAGTCCCTAGCATGTTCCAACCTCCATCCGCGCGCAAAGCTTCCGCCCAATTGAATATCTCGAAGGAGTCCCCGTCGCGTCCCACAACGACCCCACGCCCTCTCAACGGCAAGCGATCATTCATCGAGGAAGCGGAATCTACGCGGGAACGAGATGGGCCAAAGCAACCAAAGGGTGACTCCAAAGAGCCACAAGCAAAACGCGCAAAGATCAACGCTTTCCACAAAGCAGCACCTCTAGCGGAACGCATGCGACCTAAAACCTTGGAGGAAGTTTGCGGCCAAGAACTTGTCGGGCCGAACGGTATCTTGCGCGGACTCATCGAACAGGACAGAGTACCAAGTATGATACTGTGGGGTAGCGCAGGAACAGGGAAAACAACAATCGCTCGAGTCATTTCGTCACTGGTGGGCAGCAGATTCGTGGAAATCAATAGTACTAGCAGTGGTGTGGCAGAGTGCAAGAAGATATTTGCAGAAGCTCGCAGTGAGCTGGGACTCACTGGCAGAAAAACCATTATCTTCTGTGATGAGATTCACCGATTCTCCAAGTCACAACAGGATGTCTTTTTGGGCCCGGTGGAGAGCGGCCAGGTCACGCTCATTGGTGCCACGACAGAAAACCCGTCGTTCAAAGTCCAAAATGCACTTCTTTCACGTTGCCGCACATTTACCCTTGCCAAGCTCACCGACGAGGACATCACTTCGATCCTTCATCGTGCTCTCCGGGTTGAAGGCCCGAGTTATTCGCCTTCCGAACTGGTGGATGAAGAGCTGGTTCAGTATCTCGCCAAATTCGCCGATGGAGATGCTCGCACTTCGCTGAATTTGTTGGAGCTTGCCATGGATTTGTCCAAAAGGCCTGGAATGGACAAGGAGGACCTCAAACGATCCTTAACCAAGACGCTGGTGTATGATCGTGCTGGAGATCAACATTATGATACGATCTCCGCCTTTCACAAGTCCATTCGAGGAAGTGATCCAGATGCGGCGCTCTACTACCTTGCTCGCATGATTCAGTCGGGTGAAGACCCCCTGTATATATCTCGACGGTTGATCGTTGTCGCTTCGGAAGACATTGGCCTGGCGGACAACACCATGCTGTCACTTGCTATATCCACACATTCGGCGGTTGAGAAAATTGGACTCCCAGAAGCACGAATCAATCTGGCACACGCTACCGTGGCGATGGCACTATCGAAAAAGAGTACTCGCGCCTACCGTGGCTTGAATAACGTCTTTGCCGCCTTGAACGAGCCGGGAATCGCGGGCTTGCCCATTCCTGTTCATTTGAGGAATGCGCCAACGAAGCTCATGAAAGAGCTAGGCTATGGTGCTGAGTACAAGTACAACCCAAACTATGTCGACGGCAAGGTCCAACAGGATTACCTGCCAGAACAACTCCTCGGTCGTACTTTCCTAGAGGACCTGGATCTGGGCACGCAGAGAGACCGTGATTTGAATAGTATGTCATATCAAAGAAATTGATTGTCTTCACTGTTAGATCACGTCTTTACTACTGTCTTTCTATACACCATGCTCAGGCCCATCGATGGAACTATGACATGGCGGTATTCATACTTCCACCGCCCCTGAACTCCAAAAATTCCATGGACCAGGCAAACTTTATACCTATAGCAGTGCGCTATACCGGATTTGGAAGCGGCCTCATGGGCCTAGTCGTGCCTGCTTCGCCTATGCCTTCTTCACCCTCGAGTCACCCCGCTGTGCCTCGCTATGATGTCGAAGCCTGAGCCAAACTTCGGCTAGGATTGGGCCTGGTTATCGACGGCACTACTATTCCGTTTTAGGTATCCTTCGAGGTGCCCAGGTGTATCTTCTAGTTCCATCTTTATTTCATCATTCCCTACTTCGCTAAGGATCGACGACTTGCTCAAGAACAGACATCAGTTTGTATTGGGCTCTGTCCTCAGCCCATCCTTTTGCTCTCGCTCCTTGTTCCTTACTCGAGCACCTGTCAGAATCTCGACCATTCTCATTCCTCTCGTTTATCCTCGAACCCATGATAACGCAAGCTGCTACACGGCATCAGCCGTCTCCATTCTCTCCTCATCCGAACCGCGGTCGTAAATATGCACCGCGTGCACCGCATACACCTGACTCCATCTATCCTGTGAGTTCAATTCACCTCTCATCTTGCCCTCCTACGTCCCTGTGGTTTTCGTTGTATGCTTGCACGTCTCGTGAATTCTTGATACTGACTACGGACCTTCCAGTCTGCCATATCTCCACTCGCATCAAACATGCCTTTCTTTTTTGATCCCAATATCGAACACCCAATGCCACAGACGTGGCAGCTGTCGTCGGCAACGGCCATGGAATATGACACCCGGTCTGTAGATCCAGACATACTGAAAATGGTCAACGAACTCAACAATGATCCGATAGACAGCCAACCTCAGCAGCTTGGCAGTCAACATCAGGAGCTAGAAATTTTTGGCGGCCCAGTTTCTTTTGATTCAATCATGACACCTCCCATCATTGAAAACCAACTGCAAAGCTCTCTATCTCCAACAAGTCCGAAATCTCAACCCTCGACATGGCTTTCCAGCGCCAATGATTCTTGGTCATGCATCTCGACTGAACGTGACCGTTCTCGAAGTGTACACAGCAGCGGTGAAAGCCAGCCACTTGCCGCGCCAGTGCGTCCGCCGTCTCCCTCCCTCAAAGCGCTATATCCCGATGGCTTTGTCTTTTGGGATCCAGCGGACCCTGCGAAGTCTGACAAAATCCATGAAAAAGTCCCCCGTAACGCGGCGGAACTTCAGCAACAGCGAGAAGATACCGCTGCACTTAAGAAAGCTGGCGGCTCCTGTATGGCGTGCTATCGGGCCAAGAAGAAGTGTGGAACAACTACACCATGTCCTCCATGCTCTTCTAAGGGTAATCGAATCTGCTTTCGAAGTTGGGGAGATTTGTGCCTGCTTGGGCCGCCTACGGGGGGCTCTTTTACGATCCATAGCTTCCCGTCCCAAGAGGCGAAAGATACTTTGCAACATATGAGTAAGGAGGCTTTTGACCGCACAAATCCATTCAATGCGATTGTCAATATCCGCAAAACATATGGCGGGAACTGCACTGCATGGCATTGGACAGTCACGAGTTCCAATGTCACACTATCGAGTAAAACGGATTGCCCCGTCAATGATTTTCTTGGTGGGATTACCAGTGTCCTCCCTCTCGTGGATCTGGTCAAATTTGCAGATTTATTTGGACACAGCTCACTTGTCAGTACTGCATTCGAAATAGCAAAACTGTTTATGGCTATTCAAGGATTGGCGCAAGCTCGAATCCGTACGTGCTGGTTTGAAACTAGCGCTGGGCGCCTTGTCTCATTTTATATCTTGACTCTCTCTTGTTGGAAGCTCGCACAAATGTCTCAGGAATTTTGCCATGGTTTGTACGTGGCTCTGTGTGGGAAGGACAAGCAGAACAGCAACAAGAAAAGCCGGTCACAGAAAGAAACCAAGATCGATCCCGCTTGGGTCGCCGCAGCATTATATTACCGAGTTGTATGCGGCTTGCAAGATCTCCAAAAACACACAGCCATTGCGAGAATACTTGGCTCCTCTAGCTGTCATCTGAGTGGCGTCCGCGAAAAGCTCGAAGATATCCTGCACAATGTGTCCCCCATACCCGGGGCTACCGGAAAATCCTCCTGTAGAGCGATCCTTGAGGATGTAATTCCCAAACTCCCGCCATCTCCAGACGTGGATATGGCTTTCTGGCTGGCAGGCCTCGGGGAAATGTCCTCTTCTGTTTCGGGCCGAGCCGACAGTCCCTTTTCGCCCCCAGCCTGTGATATGCAAGCGTTCTTGGCTGATAGTTTCCCTCGGCCTGTGCGGATGGCAAATCCTGCTGAGCAGCATGATGGAGTCTTGCAATCATCTACAGCTTCTCACACTACCGTGATTGCCCAGGAACAAAATGCATTTGATAATGTGCCCTTTACCAATCGAATTGAAACCTTTGACCCGCATGGTCTGCTGGGCTGCCTCGGCAACGACTATGACAATGCATTCGATCCAATGTCTGCGACCTTTGTTGATACAATGCCACTCGATACTGCAATGCCACTTGATACTGCTATGCCACTGTATGGCAATTTCCAGCAATCCCTATACAACTGTTGAAGGCTTCCACAACATCACCACTCGCTCATCGCTATTGCCTATTTTTACAAGTCATCCATGGGAGGAACATACAACACTCGTTTGAAAAACAACCCTAGCTGCTGGACAGGAACTGAAGTTTTTTATGGAATTGGATAGAGGTCCAATTGGTTGTGATTAGCACCAGGTAGTGCTGTGTCTAGAAGTTCGCTCACTTGCTCATTCTTCTAACACTATATAAAAAAATGGAAACCTGAATTTCCAAGAAAGTAATAATAATTTGGTTGATCGCTTTATCTGTAACAAATCCAAAACAGCGAGGCGTTGTCATTCCGCCCGCGCGTCTCCAGAATCCTCCCACCGCCAAACACCTCCATCTCTCCACATTCTCATGGGCTGCGAGCCCCTCCACCTAAATCGATGCTGAAGAACTCTTGATCCAGACATTTAATTAAACCTGAACACGCCATTCACCATGGCCTCTGGCCAACCCTTCGCGTCGCGCTCCTATGCCGGCACGAAACTCCCAGAACGCTCGGTAAACACGAACGCCATGCCCTTCAGCGCCTCATCATTCTCACGGCATCGCGGTCTGGGAAATGCCAATCAAGGCGAATTCAACGCCGATGGCCAAAAGCAGATGCAACAGTCCGCGCCCGCGCCCACAACAAACGCGCAGTCCCATGGCCCAGCGCAGGACGCGAATCCGTTGAGCAGACTCACTGAAGAGCAGAGGGAAGAAATCAACGAAGCTGTAAGGGATACCCCCCCAGTCCACCCATGACACTATGATTCTCTCCAATCACCGTACCCTCCTGCAATACAATCAATCCCCTCTCTCACTTCCACGAGGGAAAAGAGTAAAACACCAGCTAACCAAAACCCGCCTCTAAAGTTCACCCTCTTCGACCTCGATCGCGACCGCCATCTAGACTACCACGAACTCCGCGTCGCCTTCCGCGCCCTCGGATTCACCCTTGGCAAACCAGAGCTAATCTCCCTCTTAACAACCTACGGCGTTCCCCGTCCACAAGTGCAACAACAACAACAAGCCGCAGGCAACCAACATGGTCCGGGCCAACCACTCGCCTCAAACAAAGGCCCCGTGTCGAACCCGCAACACCCGTCCAACCTGCTCATGCCGCTCTCCTCGTTCCAGGCCGTCACGGCGCTGAAGATCCTTGAGCGCGATCCGCGCGACGAGATCCTGCGCGCGTTCGAGCTCTTCGATGAGGGCGCTAAGGGGTTTATTGATCTTGAGGATTTGAGACGTGTTGCGCGGGAGTTGGGTGAGACCGGGCTTGAGGAGGAGGAGCTTAGGGCTATGATTGAGGAGTTTGATCTTGAGGGTGTTGGTGGTGTTACTAGGGAGGCTTTTGTTGGGATTTGTTGGCAATAAGTTGTTGGATGAGAAGGAGGAGGAGGAGGAGGAGGAGGAGGAGGGGGGGGATTCTTGGTCACCCCTGCTAAGGCTTGGATAGGTTCGCTCTCTGGAAGACTGAGACTTGAACTGAGATGTTGTTGTTTTGTTGTGCATGGGGGGTTTTCCTTGGTGTTGGGATTTGAGTACTTTTCTTGTTCTCTTGTCGTTTTACTCGTGTGCTTGTGTTTGGGAGTAAGTGCCTCTTTTGTGTTTATTTTGGGTTAAAATCGGACTACAAATGGATTACCATTCCTCTATACGATATTTACATCTACATGTTGAGATTACAATATTTGCAAGATGAGAATGTGGTATCATTCATAGCCCAAAGGGCTTCAACGTATTTTACTCACGAAAAATGCATACAAATTCAAGAAAACAGTAGCCACAAGAAAAGAAAGCCCAAACCCCCAGATCGCGGATGATAGAAACCATAAGGACCGATAATACATGTAACCACATGTGCAACCACCCACGATGACACCGATACCCAAAACCCAGATCGCAAATCCCAGAGGTACAAATGCAAAGAAGATAAGGTTCAATAGAACTCATAAACTAGAATAAAACTAGAAGCAGAGGGGATGATCATGAGTATCGTGGTGGAGGGCCGGGGGGCGGCACATTCTGGTAACCGGCATTTTGATATCCGGTATTAGGAGGCATATTCTGATATCCAGTATTGGGAGGCATATTCTGATATCCAGTATTGGGAGGCATATTCTGATATCCGCCATTGCGGTATCCATGCCACTGGTCCATAGGCTGGCGCGCACTAGGCTGGGGACCATTATAGCGGCGATATGTACCAGGGGGAATAGCCTTGCGGGCCTTCCGCAGTTGTGCACTGCGCTTGCAGCGACTATAGATACAGAAGAAGATAGCGAGCAGGATGAACGTGCCGACGCCGACACAAACGCCGATGACCAGCTTCTGGTGCTGGTGGATCCAGCCCAGGGCCGAGGAGCCCTTGCACTCACCTGCGCTGCAGCGACCACCCGAGTCGCAGGGTGTACCGTCTAGGTAGTTCTGGTTCATACCGATACATTCCTGGACACCGAATGAGTGCTGGAGTGAGGGTGCGCCGCAGACGAGACTGCAGGAGGGACTATTTGTGTTCTCGCAGGCCCAGGTGTCGTTGGTGTTCAGCAGTGAGCCTATCACCGTGCGACACTGGTAGTCGCGGCTTGTGCACTGGCCGCTGGCGCAGCTGAGTCCCTGGTTCTTGCTGCCGCAGCTAGCACCGTCCTCTTTGTATTTGTTGTCGGGACAGGAGCTGGAGGTTCCGCTGCAGGTCTCGGCGATGTCGCATTCGCCGGTGCTAGCACGGCAAACGGTGTTGGCGGAGGCGAACTGGCATTTAGCGCAGCAGCTGTCGTTGGCGTCGTCGCAGACGGCACTGTCTTTGAATTTGCAGGTCTTGGCGTCACAGCAGGAGTTGTCGCTGCAGCTTTGTTCGTCGCCGCAGTCGCATTCTTCGCCGGCTTCGACGATGCCGTTGCCGCATTGGCTGCCGCTGATAGTCACGACGCCGCGGTTGTCGGATAGACAAGAGGATTTGATGCTGTTTTTGCCAATGGCAGAGCAGATGTTACCAATGGTGCATTGCGAAAACTTGGTCATCGAGCTCTGGGCATATGGGTTCATGATGTATTCCGCATTAGCATTGCAGGTTGATGAACTGAGCGGGCAGCATTGAGATGAAGCGTCTAAATTGTTTGTGCAGGCGTCTGTGTCGCAGTCGTGCACTGCTCCAAAGGTGTGACCAGTCTCGTGGGCAAACACCTGCCAGGAAGAACCGGAATTGCGAACTACGACGTTGGAACCGGTCACAGAGTTCTCTCCGGAGGTAACCAGGTCGGAGGAGCATAGACGACCCATCCATGACACTCCAACCTCACTGCCTGTTGGGCAGTTTGTCATCAGAGTCCAGTAGGCATTGTTATCTGAATGACTTGCGCGCCACTTGGAGAATTCATTCAAGCGCCAGGTGACATTTCCGCCCTTGCAATCCACGTTCCATGGCGTAGCAGTGGAGCCCGTGCTGGAGCAGCCCGTCTCGGAGATTGTAAGGTTGCGCAAACCAATGGACACATTGAAAGATTCTTCATAGAGACTCGAGGCCGTGTTTACCACGTTGATGACCCAGTCCCTAGCCGCTTTTTCAGGGGTGGAGTTAGTAGCCATGAACGATTCTGTAAATTCACAATCCGTTGCAATTCCGATCAGAGCGACTTTCTTCGTGTTAGGACATCCGCTCACATCACCGATGGTCGATTTCAGATTCACACCACCAGTGTTGCCCGAGACACCACCAACATCTGAGGATGACTGTCGCTTGCCCAATCCAAACATCGAGTTCAACGAGGCGACACCCCACTGACCATCTGTTTCGTCCAAGTCATAACCGAAAATCGAATTGGACATATCAGCATTGTATCCAAGTTTATCTGCGCTGCAGCCTTCGGATACGGGAAGCGACCGCTTGAGCTCGGAGTGCTTATAGTGAAACATATCGGAGTCACGGTAGATGATCATCGATTCACCATCTCTGGGTTCGACGTCGGCATCGACCGGGCGCTTTTTGTCGAGATAGGTCGACTGCAGCTCAATGTGATGCTTATCATTGTTGACACTGAAAGCACCTTCAAAGAGGGGTTCTAGGCCGTCCTTTTTGACGGTGATTCTGGCCCAGCCCACGGGCGTCCATCTCCCCTTTCCGGATCCTACCAAGGCGCGACCTTGGAAGACTTTGTGTTCGTGTCGCTTGATTGGTTCGGCACGTTTAATTGTGCCATCGGCACCGATGTATTGCACGTAAGCGTCCTCTGCCAAGATATCATGGTTGGGCTCGAGTTCTAACTTTATGCGTTTGTCGTCTTGGTGTAAATCGAAGGTGATATCAAAATGTGACAGGTGGCTTATTTGGTGTGAAGGAGTACGAATGATGGCATTATCGACGGGTGTCACTCGTCGAATGGCCTCTGAGGCCTGTGATCGTGCTGGGGATTGTCAGCGGCTAGGGAACTGGGTGCTGGGCAACGGTGGGGGGGGG